GCACACACACATGCACACACACACGCACACACACACATACACACTGACAGGGTCGTTGCAACATGCGTTTTTGCTGCCTGTTGCAGCGCTCTAGCGCTGCATGGCAAAAACGCATAAAAAGAAAAATGTATGGCTTCATGGTTAAACACCCTACTTCGCCTCGAACAGAGAAAGCTTTCCAGCGCAAGAGTCTATTGAGGGTATGAACTGAAACTTGGTAGCGCAGGTGTTAAACATGTATGTCAACGTAATGTTCTACCCCAAACAACCCCTGCATGTACTTCGCGGAGGACCGGGACAGCAGAACTGAGTATTTTTTCTCGGACGGTGCTTTAAGTAAGCCGCATGTGGGCGACCAGATCAAGGTGGAAAGATCTGCCATGGTCTTACTCAATGGCACGTTGCAGGAACATAACAACTATTGCGAGACGAACGTGGGCACTGTCATTTCCAGTCCTTCCCCACGGGATCCGGCTAAAGTTGTTGACGGGTATATAGATACTCGCGACAGCTACGAAGGTGATTACATTCCAGCGGTGCTGGTGACACCTTTGGAACTCAAAGTGATTGCCACTAGTTTATCAGCCGGTATCACGATGCTGGCTCAATGCACGGCCTTACCAAGTTGTAAGTAATGATAGTTAGGCGCCACGCGCAGGCCCTTTAATATGGATACGCTAGGTACTCCTTACCAGTGGGTGTCCAGATAGGTACCAGCTTCGCATTGCCAGCTCGGTACCGCAAACAGGAATACACGGCATATATAATGCATTCGGACAGTACAAGTATTTTGGCGCAAGTCCACCTCACGGATAAGCTACGGGTACTGTTTAAGCGCAATCCCTTTCAAGTACGAAATGGCTCAACTTCGTCGGCTCAAGAAATTTCTAGTTATGAAATACTCTTTCGGTTAGAAGAAAACAAATGCGCATTATGGACACAACTGCTTTTAAGGGAATGGCGATACGATTGTCATGAGGATCCCCGCAGCAAGGGACTCCCCACTGTTGGCGCATGGGTTAAAATGTTGGGGGAAATCTATGGTCATGATCGTGACACTGGCTAATTCAGAGCACATGTTGCGTGTGATGATAAAAATGGTGCAGTGGGACGAAAATGGCAATACGCAGGTAACATTGAGATTTTGTCCCCAGGGTATGAAAGCACAGGAACATATGCAAAAATATACTGATATGGCTGTCCAACCAAATGTCGCGTACACGGGTTTTGAATTTCGTAATAAGCAGTTTAAAAACAGGGTGGATGAGTCGCGCCTCCGACTTCTAGGAATGGAACCAGAGCATTCCGTCACCCATCAATATCCTCAGGTCTCAGCACAAACGGCTGTAGTCCTAACCAAGGAGCAGGAGAGGTAGTGGAAGTTAGGTTGGGTAATATACCAGTCTTATTTCAACAGGCTCTTGTTGATACTGGAAAGACGCGAGTGATAAGAGTGTTTATGAAGGAGCTCTCGGAGGCTGATGAGATAACACTGGTCACGGCTGTAACTAATATCGCTGTGATAAACGCAATCAATGCCATTTTAGCAAATGTTTCAGAGTTGCAGGAAGACAATGTGTGTTCCCTCCACTCCACAAACGCTGAGCTCGTCCTCCCCATCCAAATGATCCAGACCCTAATTACTGGGGAACGTTTCGGCTATCTGAAGGAATATGTAGGTTTTGGAGGGCTGAGAGCATACAGTAGGACAACTGGTTGTTTGTAAATAACTATTTGAAACGGTGTCCGTCCCAAAAGGGCCTAGAGGTTAGTGACTCCAAGGCGCTACGGATCACCATGCTATCATACTAGCAAATATCATTGTGATGTTCGTAGGAGTCTTTTCATGATTCCAAAACGGTACCACTCGCATGATAATTGACGAAGCTGGTATGGTTCCAGAGAGTTAGTTATTATTGCTGTATACAGGCTTATCAAATTTAAAAAAGGTGTTTATTGCTGGCGACACAACACAGTTTCCGATAACTTGAACACCGAAGCTTGTCCTCGGACGATTATTGAGTTAATTACCCCACGCGCACCATAGGGGGCCAGAGCATCTAGCAATAGCACCATTACCGTCAGATGCTCTGGTCCCCCATGGTGCGCGTGGGTAATTGACTCAATAATCGACCGAGGACAAGCTCCGGTGTTCGAGTTATCGGTAAGTTCCCGTGTGCATTGATTTTTAACACACTGTCTTTCAGAAATGGCTTATGCTGGTAAGCTTAAAAACGCATTACGATCCATTGACCGCATCGCGCTTACGGATCGGGTTCCCCATTAACGGTAATGGGAAAATCAATGGTGCTGATCCATAAAGCCAACGAAGACGCTCTGGACTCGATGAAATTGCGCACCAACTTGATGGATAAGGGCATAGTTCAGGAGTTTGTCCGTTTATCTGAACTATACGCTCCTCACGCATCACTGGTGATCCTGTGCTTCTACAGCGGCACAAAACGGGATCTGGAACTGGCTCTAAAAGAAAGCAAGTGCAAGGTGCATACGATTGACCAGTTTCAGAGACAATAGGTAGAGATTGTGATATTAGTCACAACACGGGATTTTTCTGATGACGAGTCGGACCACAACCTGGACTTCTTTTTAGATCCAGCTCGTTAACGGTCGCGCTCTTCGGGATGAAAGGTGGGCTTGTGATGGTAGACAATTTTAGCCTTCTCCCTAGCAGTAAAGTATAGCACCGTTTTGTTAAGGTAGCCACGTGATACATCCTCGTTGTAAAGTCTCTTTAATGTTATAAATGATGGCAGATAATAGGGGCTAGGAAGGTTTAGCCACCGGAAACCATCGTGTCGCGGCAGCACGCGCACATGAACCAGCTCTTTCCATAAAAAACTGGGAGCTCCGTGGAAGGCGATCAGTATACTGGTAGGAGACAACAAAACCTCGGCTGGAACGCACCAGGCGGGCCGGTGCGATCATGCGTTTTTGCACTTTTCGTACTGTCGCAAGATAGCAAGTAATCACAGTAGCTAGCCTTGTGACATGCCGGCCCTCGAAGTTCGGGAAGTTAATTGTGCAGCTATGTGGCATGTAAGTTGCAGATGTCGACTTCAGTGACCCGACAAATAGAAAGTTGTTGTTCCGCGAAAAAGGCCCTACTAGAAGAGTTAAATTTAAGTAGGGAACATTTCTTTAAAATTAGAGCCTTCCAGCTTTTCTCATTCCTGAGTTATTGATTCTCCGTCAAAATTTCCACGTAGTCGTACGTGAGTCCCGGGCAGCTCTAGGCAGCTGAATTTGAAATCTTTTGTTCATACATGGGCAGAGAACATTTTCCTAAAGTTTCAGCATCCTGGATTTTTTCGCCCCCGAGTTGGTGATTTTCTCGCCAAATTTCCACGTTCCCATACGTTGGTTCCGGGAGCTTCTAAACAGCTAATTTTGACTGTACATAAGTAGGGAAATCACCCTAAAGTTTCAGCTTCCTGGATTTTCTCATCCTCGAATTAGTGATTTTCTCGCCAAAAATTTCACGTACTCACACATGAGTCCGGGCAGTCCTGAGCAGCTGAATTTGAAATCTTTTAGTCATACATGGGCAGGGAACATCCCCATAAAGTTTCAGCTTTCTAAGTTTTCTCGTTCCGGAATTAGCAGTTTTCCCGACAAGATTTTTACGTGCCCGTACGTGTGTCCCGGGTAACCCTAAGCATCTGGATTTGAAGTCTTTTGGTCACACGTGAGTTTTGAACATTCCCCTAAATTTTCAGCTTTCTGGCTTTTCTCGTTCTCGAGTTAGTATTTTTTCGCCGAAACTTTCACGTGGTCGTACGTGGGGGCCAAACGTGCGTGAGGGTTAATACAGTGGCCTTGGGGTGGCACTCGGCTAAGAAACATACTGGCAAAATTTCAGATTCAAAGCTTGCGTAGTTGATGAGCTAAAATTCCCGGACAGACGAATACACACACACACGCACACACACACACACACACACACACACACACACACACATTGACAAGGTCGTTGCAATATGCGTTTTTGCTGCCTGCTGCAGCGCTCTAGCGCTGTACGGCAAAAACGCATTGAAAAGGGACATGAAGGTATGATTTCTATTGCAAAATAATTGGCCAACGTACGCACTGCCCGTGCGAAGATGTGTTTTTTGCATAGTTTCCCGCAGTTTTTGTCGCTATCGGTATCGGTTTTTTCGGCAAATGCTCCTAGCTGAACAAATTAAAACTGGCCGCCAGAACTGGCAGGGAACACCCCCTTAAAATTTCAGTTTTCTAGCTTTCCTAGCTCCTGAGTTATCACCTACTTGGACGGGGAACATCCCCCTAAGATTTCAGCATTCTAGCTTCTCA